TACGCCCCCTTCGACCGCATTATCGAAGAAGAATCTAATGGGTCAGAATCACTTCTTAATTTCGCGATCAATTATGACTTGTCTAATACTCAGTGCTTTACCGAATGATTTTGTTTCAGATACCACATTGAGGTTAGGACTCGGTTTACCGACGCGAGAATGAGGGAGGACTAGCATGCGGGCCGAAAGGACTGCTAATTACCCAGTAACCCCTGACACATTGCGCTCACTTACTAGGATCCTCTTAAACCAAGCGTACCGACTTATCACAATGACTAGAGACGGGTAAGACAACCTATATGCTGGGTCAGTAACTGACACACTCAATGCACATCATGTCGTTTTCGCCTCACTTAGAATGATTGCAGAAATGATGCAATTCGCTATATTTCAATGTGATGGCACATTCAAAGTCTGGCTTACAGACGGAACAGGTAAAATAAAAAGCATTTTTTGAGTTGTCAATCCATATAATGAGCATGTTGATTTAAGCTTCTTTTTTAATATGTGCTACAGGATTTTTTGCATAGTGGGAATTCGGCGTAACCGAATTATACCCCTGATGTGGGTGTTGATGAAAACCAGGACGAGAGAAGCATGGTAGCTGTACTAAGTCACTAATGTAATCAGCTTGGACCAAATAGAATGCTGAGACGATTTATAATGGACTTTGAGGCCTCTGAAATGGCTGGAGTTGAGAGTTTTCAACTGTCAAATTCAAGAGTGTTTGTGCTGTTCGAGTAAGTTTCTAACATTACTAGTTATTTATTATCAGTGAAATATGTTTTACAATTTTTCTTTTCACAGATATTCCTTACTTATGTCGCCGATATGAGGTTGATGGAACCTGTGAAAAGAATCATCAGGCTGACTTTCGCACTTCCTTTATTGCCAGAGCACCTCATGAGAAGAGGTTTGGTTCTTATAACACAAGAAGCCATGGCAGAGGGTCATTTCTTTTTTGCCATGTTGCGTCCATACCTACACACAACAGGCGCCTGAGAGTGGCAATAGGTGTGCACCCTAACATTTTTGTATTTAAAAGTGAGTACTAGTCAGTTTCTTACTGTCCATTACAAGCTCTTAACAAACAAAATCTACAGCTAATATGACCACTTACAGATGGATTGATACGATTAGAACGAAGAGCCTGGGATGACATCTATAGACTTGAGAATAACAGAAGACCTGGACGGGCCAGGGCTCCTCAGTCAATTATGAACGATGAACGTTTGGCCAATCTAGGACAGGCTCTTCTTCAAAATGACAGACATCAGAGTGTAAGGGTAATGAAATACATGCAAGCTGCAGGCCACAATGAATTGTGTCCTTCATGAGGCATTGCTGTAACACCTCAATTATTTTTTGACTGTTTTATTTTACAACAGTATTATATCTTGTTCATTCCACAATTTTGTTTAGCCTTATATTTGTAAAACCTTTGAATAATTTGACTACGTATTATTATATGATTATTCTTCTTACTGTTCTACTCAACCTTTAAATTTGTTGGCTTTTTGTTCTTTTGGTTTACTCGGTTATATCACGTTTGTATCCTGAGTTTCATTTAGCCGTATATTTGTAAACAAATTCTTGTGTGTACATAGTTTTAAAAGCTTTAAATAATTGGACTTGATATTATTATTTAGGTTTCGTACCTTTGACATGTAATACCTTTTCGTGTTCTAAATAAGTTGTATCCTTTTAAAATTTGAATAGCTTCCTAATCACAGCTTTGTAATTGTCCACTTCCTTAGCTTTGTTCTATTTCATGCTGTTGTACTCACCCTTTAAATTTGTTGGCTATTTGCTATATTGTTTTACTGGGTTATCATGTCACAATTGTATCCAGAGTTTTGTTTTCAATTTGTAAACAAAACTTCTTGTGATCACTATTTTTTCTATATATAATTGGACTGGGTATATATTATTCAGGTTGGTTTTTCAAACTTTTCATTACACACATATTTTGTAGGGTGGAGTGAAGTCTGGGATCTTAAAAGTCGACATAGATTATTGTATTTCAAGGTATCGTAAGACTAGCTGCAGGGTCGATTGGGAACCATGGGAGGCCCTCAGGCTCCTGCAAAGGGCATAAAGTTAGGTCTGCAAGGCTCAAACACCACTTTTTGACCCCCAGTGGTCAGTCTAGAGGTCATCCGGGAAACGGCTATCTCTTAAAAAGTGCGAAATACATCCAAGAGGGTACCCACGAAGTTTGAACCCGCTGCGCCATTGTCTTCAGCCTGGCCCTTCGACTTTGATGTCCAAAAACAGCCTAAAATTGCGATTTTTGACCATACCTCCCAAACTTTGGTCGAACGGATATGACAACAGAAGGTGTTCTCAATGCATCTCGACAAGACAAGACGATTTCATTTTGTTATTTTTTTCTGTTAGTTTTCCCATCCAACGTAGTTATCTCTAGTTTGTGCCTTACAGTTACGGTCTTCCCAAACGTTTCAACTTGACTGGCTCGAAGAGCGTTGATTTTGTTTTGGAAGTACGATTTTTCTTTTTTAACAACTTCTTTATTTTCTTGAGAAAGTTGTACTCTAATCGGTTTGCAAAACGGAACTGACCCGGGTGAGGGGTTTGACCACAGAACAGTGGGCTCCTCACTAGGCAGTCTTAACACTAAAGGCGCTATAGCCGTCAGCAGAATGCTCACATCAATACTTTTCTTCTTTCTCTGCCCCATTCCATCATGCTGTTGGCAAGTAGTGTGACTACCACTACCATCAAACCCCCACTTGTGCAAAAATGATAGTTCCGCGCCATCTAGAATAGTCTTTAGGCATTCACTTGACTCGGCCTCTAGGTATTTAAACCATGTAAGTATGACTGTACTGGACTAGCAACTAAGTACGTTGAAATGTGCGCGGCGCTGGCTGGCGAAGCTATCTCCTCTGAAGCCAATGTGCTTAGAAAACTCACCCACTCAATTTTTGAAAGCCTATGGTCTACTGCAACTAATGATGCCCGTGTTTTGAGTGTAGCATCATTCAAACCGGAGCGACGACGCCTGGAACGCCGCAGACCCGTTTTCTGCCATCTGCCACCCGTGAATGTAGAAAGAGACAGACAGAGTGAGGGTGTGGTCTTTCAATATCATTTGCAATACTGCTGCTAAGTCCATGTCACCATCCTTTTTCAGTTTTTAGCTTGCAGCATGAATGAGTGAACTTGCACAGTTGTTACTTTGGATAGCCTTAGACCAAAGCCGCGTCGTTGGCTACCTGGACATTTCATTAAACGGCAAATCTTTTGACGGTGCTTTCCTTTTTGTGTTTTTAGGTTGACCAACTATTTCAAAGGAAATCTCAGTATCAAGCCAATTTGAGAACCGACTTTCAAATCTCCGTCTATTCCGGCCACATTTCCCTATCCTATCATGAAGCTGTGAATAAAAGGTGGACACCTTTTTCCTCACAGTGGTGATATGGCTGTCACTATCCTCTTCACTCAAGCCTAAATTCTGAAGTAGGCCTACATATGCCTCTGAGTGACTCCTTTTTGCTTCATAGTTTCCTTCATGTGAGTTGCATATGACATACGATTCCCTGTATGCATAGCGTGTGATCTGCACTGCTTCCTCCTTCCACAAAAAGAGTTTATTGGCTGAGCGATTAGCGAAGCCCATTCCTCCAATGACCGAAAATGTTTCATTCTGTATCGATGGATACAAATTTTTGTATCCACGTTACAAATTTATTTTTGAATCCAAAAGAATACAATTTTTTCTATCATGGATGCTGAAAAAACTGCATATCCAAATTACAAATTTTTGTATTATTATTTTTTAGAGTGATGATATCAAAAGAGTCTGGATCGAGCCATGGAGCTGTATATTGCACGTGTACGGGAGAACTGGGATTGGACTAAACTCCGATGCCCCTTTTTGGCATGAATCGCTGTTAAACCTCTGCACGTGGTCTGACTGTGGGACAACTAAGCAATTAAGAAAAAAAAAAACGAAAAAAATATTTTTTTTGAAACGAAACTGCACGGACTTTTTGATAATCACCCAGCCTCTTTAACTATCTACAGAAGTGGTAAAGTACTTCCCATGCAAATGCAGCAATGCTTGTGTAGAGTGTGCTGCAGAATGGGTGATAGAGTACAACCGGTGTTGTTATTGCAACTCAGAAATAGAGTCTGTAAATGTTGTTCTTTGCTGTTTTAGGCATTTGATTTCCTAGCACTCATCTCCCTAGTTGGTTAATATTTTTATCTCAATATTTTCTGTTTTATAATTATCATTGTTTGACGTATAGACAGTTTTGTTCATCTTTTATGAAAACAAATCTTGTGAGTTAAAAGTTTCTTAACCTTTTTAATATTGGTATGGTAATAATTCAGTACTCATTCATGTTGCATACCTTTGAATGAAAAACTTTATTGTGTTTTTAATATTGTCGAGTTCTTACTGTTGTACTGAATTTATTACTTTGACTCTCTTGTTTGACATAGTTAATTGCCTTTATAGGGCCCTTAGCCCTTATATATTGACAAAACCTGGAGTGTTTCTTGGTTTTTTTGTCCCTATAATATTCGGTGAACCAAGAATATTAAACAACATTAAGGGGAGGGTATACTGAAATCCTTAAAATCTAAACAAGAGACCATTTCAAAAAAGTTGTTTACAGTACTCACTTTAAAAACTCGTTTAAGCTATAGCATGTCCACATCCATCAAAAAACTTTGCGCATAGAACTTTTTTAACATAAAAGTTTACGTAACATTAGAAACTTATGTGCGCACAGTTTTTTGGTAGACTTTTGGCATTCTAAACCTTAAATTAATCCTCAAAGTGCATACTACGACAATTATAGAGTACTTTTATGATTTTATCTCTTGTTTAGATTTAAACTTGATTAATTCATTAAATTAGGTGATTTATCCATTTTTTCAGTATACTCTCACCTTAAATCCTTTTGCAAATAAACTTTTCTTGTTTCCAATTGTGTTACCTTATTCTTGAAATTTAAAAGGTTGCCTTTGTTATTCCACACTACGAGCTAGAGAGAAGATTGTGAATTATTGTCAATTATTACACTTTCGAGTCGCTTGTATGGCATGGCCTGAGACAACCAATCTTCAACCTTGAGACTTGAAACGTATGATGCCATTTGGTGCCCCAATTGAAAGAGAGACTTGGGTCCTATGCTAACTTACGCTACATCAACGGCTCGTGTCTATAGTCTCGTGTCTTCTCCAGTTTTGGTCAAGAGTTTTCATCATTAGGTTAATTACCGCTGCTCAAATTTTATCGCTATGTCACCATGCCGCGCCTGTTGGTGTTTTTCTGGTGGCCCGTGAACCTGGAAATAAAGACAATTCATTCTTTTATCATATCAATGATGGCTACCATTACCACGAATCTTTCAGAAGAGGCACCTCGTTACGGTGGCCGTGCCGTTTTGATTCCATAGATGGGTTCGAACATTCGATGCCTCATCGGGTTGATCATGTGTGTTATCCCGACGAGTTCTACCCTGCCGAATGTGAGCTATGGAGAAACATACTTCGCCGGTGTCGTCAGCTTGATTACGCCCCCTTCGACCGCATTATCGAAGAAGAATCTAATGGGTCAGAATCACTTCTTAATTTCGCGATCAATTATGACTTGTCTAATACTCAGTGCTTTACCGAATGATTTTGTTTCAGATACCACATTGAGGTTAGGACTCGGTTTACCGACGCGAGAATGAGGGAGGACTAGCATGCGGGCCGAAAGGACTGCTAATTACCCAGTAACCCCTGACACATTGCGCTCACTTACTAGGATCCTCTTAAACCAAGCGTACCGACTTATCACAATGACTAGAGACGGGTAAGACAACCTATATGCTGGGTCAGTAACTGACACACTCAATGCACATCATGTCGTTTTCGCCTCACTTAGAATGATTGCAGAAATGATGCAATTCGCTATATTTCAATGTGATGGCACATTCAAAGTCTGGCTTACAGACGGAACAGGTAAAATAAAAAGCATTTTTTGAGTTGTCAATCCATATAATGAGCATGTTGATTTAAGCTTCTTTTTTAATATGTGCTACAGGATTTTTTGCATAGTGGGAATTCGGCGTAACCGAATTATACCCCTGATGTGGGTGTTGATGAAAACCAGGACGAGAGAAGCATGGTAGCTGTACTAAGTCACTAATGTAATCAGCTTGGACCAAATAGAATGCTGAGACGATTTATAATGGACTTTGAGGCCTCTGAAATGGCTGGAGTTGAGAGTTTTCAACTGTCAAATTCAAGAGTGTTTGTGCTGTTCGAGTAAGTTTCTAACATTACTAGTTATTTATTATCAGTGAAATATGTTTTACAATTTTTCTTTTCACAGATATTCCTTACTTATGTCGCCGATATGAGGTTGATGGAACCTGTGAAAAGAATCATCAGGCTGACTTTCGCACTTCCTTTATTGCCAGAGCACCTCATGAGAAGAGGTTTGGTTCTTATAACACAAGAAGCCATGGCAGAGGGTCATTTCTTTTTTGCCATGTTGCGTCCATACCTACACACAACAGGCGCCTGAGAGTGGCAATAGGTGTGCACCCTAACATTTTTGTATTTAAAAGTGAGTACTAGTCAGTTTCTTACTGTCCATTACAAGCTCTTAACAAACAAAATCTACAGCTAATATGACCACTTACAGATGGATTGATACGATTAGAACGAAGAGCCTGGGATGACATCTATAGACTTGAGAATAACAGAAGACCTGGACGGGCCAGGGCTCCTCAGTCAATTATGAACGATGAACGTTTGGCCAATCTAGGACAGGCTCTTCTTCAAAATGACAGACATCAGAGTGTAAGGGTAATGAAATACATGCAAGCTGCAGGCCACAATGAATTGTGTCCTTCATGAGGCATTGCTGTAACACCTCAATTATTTTTTGACTGTTTTATTTTACAACAGTATTATATCTTGTTCATTCCACAATTTTGTTTAGCCTTATATTTGTAAAACCTTTGAATAATTTGACTACGTATTATTATATGATTATTCTTCTTACTGTTCTACTCAACCTTTAAATTTGTTGGCTTTTTGTTCTTTTGGTTTACTCGGTTATATCACGTTTGTATCCTGAGTTTCATTTAGCCGTATATTTGTAAACAAATTCTTGTGTGTACATAGTTTTAAAAGCTTTAAATAATTGGACTTGATATTATTATTTAGGTTTCGTACCTTTGACATGTAATACCTTTTCGTGTTCTAAATAAGTTGTATCCTTTTAAAATTTGAATAGCTTCCTAATCACAGCTTTGTAATTGTCCACTTCCTTAGCTTTGTTCTATTTCATGCTGTTGTACTCACCCTTTAAATTTGTTGGCTATTTGCTATATTGTTTTACTGGGTTATCATGTCACAATTGTATCCAGAGTTTTGTTTTCAATTTGTAAACAAAACTTCTTGTGATCACTATTTTTTCTATATATAATTGGACTGGGTATATATTATTCAGGTTGGTTTTTCAAACTTTTCATTACACACATATTTTGTAGGGTGGAGTGAAGTCTGGGATCTTAAAAGTCGACATAGATTATTGTATTTCAAGGTATCGTAAGACTAGCTGCAGGGTCGATTGGGAACCATGGGAGGCCCTCAGGCTCCTGCAAAGGGCATAAAGTTAGGTCTGCAAGGCTCAAACACCACTTTTTGACCCCCAGTGGTCAGTCTAGAGGTCATCCGGGAAACGGCTATCTCTTAAAAAGTGCGAAATACATCCAAGAGGGTACCCACGAAGTTTGAACCCGCTGCGCCATTGTCTTCAGCCTGGCCCTTCGACTTTGATGTCCAAAAACAGCCTAAAATTGCGATTTTTGACCATACCTCCCAAACTTTGGTCGAACGGATATGACAACAGAAGGTGTTCTCAATGCATCTCGACAAGACAAGACGATTTCATTTTGTTATTTTTTTCTGTTAGTTTTCCCATCCAACGTAGTTATCTCTAGTTTGTGCCTTACAGTTACGGTCTTCCCTAACGTTTCAACTTGACTGGCTCGGAGAGCGTTGATTTTGTTTTGGAAGTACGATTTTTCTTTTTTAACAACTTCTTTATTTTCTTGAGAAAGTTGTACTCTAATCGGTTTGCAAAACGGAACTGACCCGGGTGAGGGGTTTGACCACAGAACAGTGGGCTCCTCACTAGGCAGTCTTAACACTAAAGGCGCTATAGCCGTCAGCAGAATGCTCACATCAATACTTTTCTTCTTTCTCTGCCCCATTCCATCATGCTGTTGGCAAGTAGTGTGACTACCACTACCATCAAACCCCCACTTGTGCAAAAATGATAGTTCCGCGCCATCTAGAATAGTCTTTAGGCATTCACTTGACTCGGCCTCTAGGTATTTAAACCATGTAAGTATGACTGTACTGGACTAGCAACTAAGTACGTTGAAATGTGCGCGGCGCTGGCTGGCGAAGCTATCTCCTCTGAAGCCAATGTGCTTAGAAAACTCACCCACTCAATTTTTGAAAGCCTATGGTCTACTGCAACTAATGATGCCCGTGTTTTGAGTGTAGCATCATTCAAACCGGAGCGACGACGCCTGGAACGCCGCAGACCCGTTTTCTGCCATCTGCCACCCGTGAATGTAGAAAGAGACAGACAGAGTGAGGGTGTGGTCTTTCAATATCATTTGCAATACTGCTGCTAAGTCCATGTCACCATCCTTTTTCAGTTTTTAGCTTGCAGCATGAATGAGTGAACTTGCACAGTTGTTACTTTGGATAGCCTTAGACCAAAGCCGCGTCGTTGGCTACCTGGACATTTCATTAAACGGCAAATCTTTTGACGGTGCTTTCCTTTTTGTGTTTTTAGGTTGACCAACTATTTCAAAGGAAATCTCAGTATCAAGCCAATTTGAGAACCGACTTTCAAATCTCCGTCTATTCCGGCCACATTTCCCTATCCTATCATGAAGCTGTGAATAAAAGGTGGACACCTTTTTCCTCACAGTGGTGATATGGCTGTCACTATCCTCTTCACTCAAGCCTAAATTCTGAAGTAGGCCTACATATGCCTCTGAGTGACTCCTTTTTGCTTCATAGTTTCCTTCATGTGAGTTGCATATGACATACGATTCCCTGTATGCATAGCGTGTGATCTGCACTGCTTCCTCCTTCCACAAAAAGAGTTTATTGGCTGAGCGATTAGCGAAGCCCATTCCTCCAATGACCGAAAATGTTTCATTCTGTTTGTGTGTTTGTTTGTTTGTCCGCACGATAACTCGAGAATGAATTGAGATAGCGATCTGGGAATTTTAGGGTCGTTTTGTATCATAAAAAGACACATCGAGTCCAAAGATGAGCATTCTAGCTCAAATGTACTTTTTACCGAATATTTTTTATGGGTTCTAACGGGTAACTCGTGAAAATAGAAATCTGCGGGAGGAAACTTCATCCGTTTTGCCCTATCTCGTACCGTTTGGGTGCTAGGATGCATTTCTTTGCAAAAATAAGGTGAACACGACTAAATGGTCTATTAAGTCGTAAGAAAGGCCTTAAATTACAATATTATGCAGGAAGTACTACTAAAACCACACAGTTGACGTCGAACCACACCCTCCTTTAGGCTCAAGGGTCCCTCTATTATCTAGTACAACTAAAACGTTGTTTTAACATAACAATATGTGAAAATTCGATCTTAAGCTATATGTACGCCAGACCACGTCTCGCGTAACAGGCTTCGCGATATCTCACGAAACACTGTTACGCTGCGACGCGCCTGGCGCACATAGCTAGGCCTGCGGCGCTGACACCCGAGACGAGTGATTGGGATGTTATGCGGGAACAGCTCTGCTAATCTTGGTGCGTTGCGTAGTAGTTTGCCAGTTTGAACTGCGAAACAAAAGTTCTGCAGTTGCAACTGCGAAACTTTTTAGTTCTGCAGTTGCAACTGCAAAACTTTTTAGTTCTGCAGTAGCAACTGCGAAAGTTTTTAGTTCTGCAGTTGGGCGGTCTTTTCCAATTCAATTATATGTTACACTTGTACTAAAAAGTATTGAAAATTTAAATTGATTAAGATATCATTTATTAAAAAGAAATGCAGAGTGATAATGTTGCAACATATTTGTTCAATAGCTCAGACCATAGGGCTGGAAATACGGGGGAGGCCTACCAGTCAAATGACTACTGAACAATTACCGAGTTCTATATTCAATAACCCGAGCAACAGCACCAGAAATGGCTGGGTGAGATGGTTTGTATTACTCACAATAGTATGAAAATGTCACTGGGTAACTTTGCTCTTCTTCTCAGAACCTAATACAAAAGCATTCATTGCATCATTTAGTAGCAGCCTAGGCTAGGCTGACACAGCCTATGGGCAGCTATAACCCTAAATCTACCCTATGCTAAGACAGTGTTTGGATATAGTAAATTGGGCTCAGGCATGTGTATAGTTCCCAAATCGATGCAGACGTACAAGTGTAACATATTGGAAAAGACCGCCCAACTGAAACTGAACTGAAGAACCAAAAAGTTTCGCAGTTGCAACTGCAGAGCTAAAAAGTTCCGCAGTTGCAACTGCAGAACTTAAAAGTTTCGCAGTTACAACTACAGAACTTTTGTTTCGCAGTTTAAACTGGCAAACTACTACGCACTAAGATTAGCAAAGAGGGCCTTCCGGCACCAACATTTGGCATACTGACAACATTTGACGGGGACTTATAACTGTAAAATTATGGACATGAAACTTCTGCTGTTCGATGAAGATATTCATCAAAAGTTCTAATTTTGACAGATTGTTATGTAAATATCAACGTTTTAGTGATACTAAATAATCTAGGGACCCCTAAGTCTAGAAGAGGGTGTGGTTCGACCCCTAATGCGTGGTTTAAGTATTACTCCCCTAACAATTTTGTGACATGAAGTCTTTATTACGATTTAATGGACCATTTGGTCTTTTACACCCTGTTTTCGCCAAAAAATGCCCCCAAGCACCCAAACGGTACAAGATGGAGCAAAACGGACGAAATTTTCGCCCGAACTTAGTTCTTTCTCGAGTTATCGTGCGGACAGACAAAGAAACAGTCAAAGAAACAGACACACAGAATGAAATTTTTCCCGTCATTTAAGTAACGGGCTTCGCTAATCGCTCAGCCAAAAATGTTACACAGCACTTGTTCAGACTATGTCGTTATTTATTAAAATTTGTAAGATTAACATTTGTAAGATTAAAATCCGGTATCTATTTGACAACTAGTATTTGAAGCTAGAAATCTAATAAATTACAGCCAATAATCTCGT